TATTTCAAAAGAAAAGGGTTACAAGAGTAAAGGTGTAATTAAGTAACTAAACCTTGCATAAGCAGCAAAAAACAAAATCTTATGCAAAGTCCGAAAAAATCACAACTATACCACCCAATTACAATGACAAAAAACAAAATAAAAACCGCAAGTCAAAATTTGAACATGATCAACATAACTCTTGTAACAAATAGCCACGAGCAGAGACGTTCCAGGGCACAGCAAAAAGGCAGCAAGTTGTATCATCGTCTAGCCATCCAGCGAAAGAGCCTGAAAAATAGTAAACCAAAGAAACAAAGGCAGCAGCAGCAAAAATTGATCTCCAAAAGTGCTCCAGCATCCATATAACCAGGACTCAGGCTGTAATCAACAAAACCCAGCATACCCCTGGTTGCCCCGAAGGCTCTCCAAGGGGAAGAAATAACATAAAATACCAAAGGAGCATCATCATTGTCCTGGTTATAAACACCGAACCAGCAAAAGACAACTGATTCCAAAACACCATCCCTCCAATCAGAAGTTCTCCAGTAAATCATTAGAATTTTTCCAGCTAGACACTTTCTCAATAATCAACTTTTTGATAAGATTATGAAGAGAGGAAGAGCTACGAAACTCATTCCTAAATCTCATGCAATTTCTTTCTCTCCAAAGTTGATAAAGGATGCAACAAATCATTAGGAAATTGAAATTCATAAAGGTTTGGGAATAAGAAAATTCAGTCTCCACCCATTGGCACAGTTGCAGAATAGTAGGTCTGAAAAGAAAGTTCTTCGATCCAGGAAAATAGAGTTCAGTATCGAAAAAGAGTAGGAACACTCAAAGAAAAGATGGTTAACATTTTCAGGAGCAGAATGGCAGAGAGAGCAGGTCTCCTGCACATAAATAGTTCTTAATCTTAAGGCATCCTGGGTTTTCAAACCCCCCACAAGAGCAAGCCAAACATAAACCGAGTGTTTCAAAATGTTCTTTTTGTGGCAAACAAACATATGCCAACTACAATCAGACAAATGACTGTAGTAGTCCAGCAGGAAATCTTTGAATTTAGGCTTGTCACAGTGTTTCCAGATTAAACAAACAGGAGAGTTGGCAATCTTAAAGTTATTCTGATGATGATGTACTATGTCCTGCACTATGATTGTTGTGTATGTGAATCTTTTATTTGTATAACTTATTGAAGATGAATTAATGAAAATATTCTAAATTATTAATTTGATT